CATTTAATGACTGCTGTAATCGTGACTGGAAATTTGCCAGACATGGACTGCTCTTCGATTAGCCACTGCTTGCCCTGGCTAATCTAGACCTGGTCCAGTGGAGTCAACTGATGACAGCAGCATCACTAGTTTCACTGTTGCTACTTTGTGATTTATTGTTGCATTTATTGTAGAAGCTGGTAGTATTTTTCCCTCAATATAGTGCACATGCAAATGTTCCAGAGGGACCATATAGCCCATGAATTATGAATTACTAAGATTTTTTGAGCATATGGCTGAGGGAATGCTAATTAGCTGTTGTCTCTTTTTTTTTTTTCTCCAGTGGGTTTATGTTTTACTGTCCTTGCATATTCATACAGAAAGAGTCAATTGCAGTTTTGCAGTAATCCACAGATTAAAGCTTTCAGGAATGATAAGGTAATAAAAGGGGAATTGCCCCCTTAAGCTATTCGGTGTCCCAGATTGTTATGGTTTAAAGTAGTTTCATGCTTTATACTGGGGACAGTGCTCTAAAAATATACTAAAGTAAACTCCAATTTGCTCTCCAGTGAAAAGCTAAAAGGCTACCAGTGAGCTTTAGATACCTGACTTCCATGAAGATGCTTAATGAGAAATAATAATTATCTAACTAGATCTCTGGCCCTGTAATCTAAGGGGCGTTCTGCATTTGTTCTGTTCAATAATTAACAATAAGTCTACTGTTGGCTGGATGTCATTGACCCAGGATATCTATTTTGATGTTTACAACAATACAGTTGCATAGAGGCCAGCATACCGGTTCATCCAGTTCATTCAGTATACCTGTTAAAATACTTATGTTTTGTCGTAACCTTTACTGGTATACCACAAAACAAGCACAGATAATGCAACGTACAGAACATGCAAAACACGCTTATCCTGTTTAGCTGAAGGCTAAATGAGACATGTTGTCTTTGTGGTTTGAGCCATGCCTCAGTGAAAATAACACAGCAGCCCCTTGATCACCTCTTACTCCCAGACCTCAGCATCATTGATTTGGGATTAATTGGGTTATGAAAAACAGAAAATGCAACCAACTTCTGAGACTGAATGTTGGAGGTGTGCACAAATGCCTCTGCAGATAGCAGTGGACAGTATACAGGCCAAAATTTTTCAGGTATGAGCTTTGACAGAACTGTGATACCGGTATGCCACAAATAAGCACAGATGTAAATAAATGATGCTGTTGTCAGATGAAAACCTTGTATCTCCAATGGTAACTTTTCAGGAGAAGGAAAAAACATACTTTACTTTTAATGTAAGTCAATGGAACCGGACCTTTTCAAAGTCATTTTGAGCTGTTTCTTTTGGTCCATTCTTAATGAAATGTGCATACAATGTAAAGAGCAACAGGCATTTTGAAATTATGTCAGAAACTGAAAAATGAAAAAAATGGAGATACAAGATTTTCTTCCGACAACAGCGATAAGCACCTTTGTCTGGTGGCTAAGCCAGGGATGTTTCAGTCATGTTTCAAATAAAAATAAACACAGCAGCCTCTTAATCACCTCCCGCTGTGTAGTCCATTGCATCTGAAGTAGTCCACTTTGTTTTCGAGGCAGCGGACATAAAGGAATTGCCGGTCAACCAGCTTCATCGGATGGAGTTGTAGTCTCCCGGTGTTGTTCGCACAACAAGCTGTGGACCAGCTGCTACTGATACCGTGAATGACTGTAATATTTTCCAAATTCCAGCAGTGTCCAACTGTCAGAAGCACGAGTATACAGGAGACATATATTGACACAAATGACTTGAGAAATTCAATGAAGCTGAAGTTGGCTGCTTTTTCATATTTCCTGTTCCGCCTTAAATGGTGCAGCAGGTAAAGGTGCAGTTTAAGAACTGTAAAAATTTAAACCAAAAGCTGATGTATGTACTGTGATATATACCAAAACCATATTTTTTTTATTATACCATGATATAAATTTTGCTCCATCCATTGAAAAACTGAATGCAAGTCTCATTTGCCATCATTTTTGCACTGGGCTCAGAATACGCTTACTCATCTGGTTAGAGTTAGAAAGCAGTATTGACATGGGTTCTGCTTTTATTGTTTTGCAGTAAAAATATTTCATTGTTAAATGTGATTAAAATGTGGTTCTTATTAAAAGTGAAGGGACATCACAGAATAATACACCACTGTTAACCTACGAAAATAGGTTTACTTAAACATCATTATCCAATATATTATTTCCATAATTTGCAATATGAACAGTATTCATGACTGGCAGTTATTTACATCATATCAGGCAATAAAAAGCAGCTGATTTGACTGTAAAGAAATTGGAATTGGCCATAAAAATCCATCAGTGCATTTCTTGTGCATACAATCAAGTGAAACAGTGAATCTGAAGCCTGCAGCTCTATTCACCCATATGAGATCTGCCTTGAGGTAGAAGCTCTGGTTCAGTAACGGCTGGGCCCATTGCCCGCACACTGACCCCGCAGTCACACTGCTTTGCTGGGATTAGTTCCAGTCGGCTGGGCCTGGAGCAGTTCCTGTAAGAGCTGAAGGAATGCATGGAGCACAGAGCTGTCACTCTTGCAGTGTATCTGGAGGAAAAATCTCCCACCTCCAAGACCTTCCAGTCCCACTGGCAAGCAGAGACTTGAGCTGAGAGGCAGTGAGGAACACTGCGGGAGAGAAGAGGCAGAGGGAAGTTTGTGTGTGTGTCTGCCTGTAAATGTGTCTGTGTTTTTTGTGACTCTGAGGTGAAAGCAGGGTTATTAGAGTTAACGAAAACTGCTTTTTTTCATTTTAGTAACAGTGTGCTTTTTAACTATAATAAAAAAGAAAATGACCACGAATGAAATGGAATGACTGAGAAAAATACCTTTTAATTTTTATTTTTTCACTGTGTGAAAAACAGTGTACTGCTGTGTTTATTTTATTCTACACTTACTCAAATACCTACTATCACAGTGTTGATCATAAAACTAAAAAGTAGAATAAATCAAACTAAATAAAAAACTAAACTAAAACTATTAGCACACCCTTAAAAAGTACCTCAAACTAAACTGAATAAAAATAAAAACTAATGAAAATTTCAAAACTGTTATGACCTTGAATTAAGGTTAGGGTTATGTTTAAGGATGTGGATTCTGACTCATATTGATATTTAAGTATCCATTACAGGTCATGAGCCTGAGGGAAGTTGGTAGGGTTTGGTGTTGGATGAGTAACAGTGGCTGCCTTTTCAGAGTAATTGGGCTCACAGGTGTCACATTAGATGCTGATATTTAGTGATAAAGGCACGTTATTTCTCTCTTCTTAGCCACATCCTTAACAATGTGTTTTTGGTGATGTGGTTGTTTTTATGAGTAGCAAAGTATAACATGTATATTTTATATATTATATATTAAATATTATATATATTTACTTGCAAACATGAGAAAAAACGCATTTCACATATTTCACTAATTTGTCGTCCTGTATAGTTTCTCTGTCTTCCTACAATAAAACGTAACAAAAACCTGAATTGTGATTTCATTATTCCAATAAAGGCACCGACACTGTGCAGAGCCTATCATTTATTTTTACAGAACTGTCTCCTGATACTAATATAATATTCTAATATCATTGTGAACCCGATAAGTAATTTTTTGGATCACAGAGTAGAATGGCAAATGCCAGAAGATCAGACAGAAACCTCAAAAACTAAATATAATATAATTTTTAAAGTATTCAGTATTACAGAACACCAGCAGATTTCTATCTGTTTTTTTTTTTCTTTTTTCAGTAACGACTTCTTGACAGCCGCACATCCTTCAGACTCATAGTGTTGAGTTGTCTTCTCACAGTGGAAGGATGGACGGAAACATCTGTGGATTTTTTTCTGATCTGAAGCAAGAGTGGAACTTGATTTTCTATTGTCTTTCAAAGATAAAAGCTTTAAGCACTGTTTATCTGATGGTGGCAGTTTGTGGTAGTCTTGCACAGTTCTTAGGAGACCCATTTTCTCTGTATCTTGTAATCATTTCTAACTCTAGTTTTGGAAATTCACTTATTTTCCTGTGACTTTCCCCTGCCTTATATAAGCGGAGACTAATCTCTCAGAAATATCTCATGAAAAATGAATAACTTGAACTTAATAGCATTCCTTTCCATTGAAACTGGAAATTAAATTATGGTGACCAAAAAGAGTGACCTCTGACTTTTTTGCACAGTAGCCCAAGTCCAAGTCCTACTGAGGTATAAAAACAAGTGTTTGTGTGTGTGTCCCTGTGGCTGCCAGTATTTTAACGTGAAGGAATGTGTGTGTGAGATGTCTTAGTGAGGTGGAGGAAAACAGTGTAAGGATCTGATTGCAGCAGCTGTCAGAAGTGTTGAGGGGGGCAGCAGCTGGGAGAGTGTAAAGTACAGTATAGCAAAGCTCACTATAGAGTGAATTGTGGGTGACCCTTAAAATACTGTAGGGCTCACACATCATGGCAGTTACTTCCTTAACATTGTCTTTTCCGTGTTGCTGTCTTAGCCTCGCTTGCTGTGTGCGCATGAAGTGTTCATTCTGAGTTGTATCTGTTCTGCTTGAAATTACATGTACTGTATCATAAGGGATATCGTTATTCTTGTTATTTGTCATTGGGCTGATTTAATCTTGTTCCCCACAGATGACATTTCAAAGTACACAATATTATTTCAAAGCACTATCAATATTCATTTGTGTAACTTTAAAGGCATGGCTTATAATTTTCATATAACACATATATATATAAATAATTGATGGGGTCATGCATAAATCATGCGCATCATATCTTGCAGTGACAGTGTTGGAATCAGATTAGGTCAAATGTGTATTTGAAGACTTTCACTTAAACAGAATGTTTGTATAGCATGTAATAGGTTAGTTAAATAAAGGACTGCTTAAATAATAACCTCATGTAAACATATATTTGTATAAAGATTCAAACCCATGCCTCTTTTTTGACATGTTATTCAGTGCCATTTAGTGCTGGAATTAATGGCATCTTTTTTTTTGTAGGCCTAGGTCATGGGGGGAACTAAGAGCAAGCCCAAAGAACCAGGCCAGCGTTCCCGCAGCCTAGACGGTACCATAGGCACAGGGAGTGGGGGTGGCAGTGGGGGAGGGCATCCGCACCAGACCCTCACACCCAGCCGAAGCCCAACAGTAGATGGCATGCGAGCTGGTGTCCAGCCAATCCACAACAACGCTGAGCGGGCCCTGTTTGGGGGTGTGGACTCCACCAACAGCATCACCTCCCCTCACCGCAGCATACTGGCAGCAGGTACAAGCCGCTCTGCATGCTTAAGCTAACACACACACCTGTAGCAGGGGTTAAGCAGTTTGAATTTGGGTTTTATACAATATGTAGTTTCAGTTCTAAAATTTGCAGTCAGTTCACTCCTAAAATCTGGGTAGAGTTTAGTTTTAAAATCTTGCTTGGAGTTCAGTTTTAAAATCTGGAGAGAGATCAAAGTTCAGTTCAAAAATCTGGGTGGAGTTTAGTTCTAAAATCTGGGGTTGAGTTTAGTTCTAAAATCTGGGGTTGAGTTTAGTTCTAAAATCTGGGGTTGAGTTTAGTTCTAAAATTGTAATGCACAATTACTGTTTAACATAAACATAAAACACATTATGGCACATTTTATATGTTATGTTTTTTTTGGGGTTTTTTTTGTTTGTTTTTTAAGTATGCTAAACATAGCAAATACATAGAAATTGTGGACTAAAATTTGCAGAAAATGACATGTTTTAAGTGTGTTCCCTGTAGAGGATGTGCCAAATTTTCACAAAACCTGTGAGGGTATTCAAACTTTTACATACGACCTTATGATTAAGCTATGAAAAGACGTACAATTGATAAAACATAATTTGTAATTTGTTCATTCTTTTTTTGTGTAGGAGGCGTGACTACATTTGTGGCTTTGTATGACTACGAGTCACGCACCGCCTCAGATTTATCATTTAGAAAAGGAGAGCGGCTTCAGATCGTCAACAACACGTGAGAAACCACACACACACACTCACTCAGCAATGTTAACACAAACGTGTACATATGTATACACACACCACAGAAACACTAAACAGTTGAAATCATAAGACAGTTACTCATACTCTAGTTCATTGGGTACGTCAGGAATACAGGAAGGTGTTTTAAGTTGCTGTGGAAATTTTAAGTGGCATACAAGTGACATGACGATGTGATGACATGCTAGAATAATCAAAAAGAAGTGTTTTCTTCTTTTGAGTCTTTTAGATCTTTTACATCAAACATTATGTATCATAATGTACTATAATGTGCCAAGAGACGACAGTATAGGCATAAAAACGACCCATCTAACTACCGATGCACACGCAGCTCATCAAAGGAGCTGAGCTCCAACCAATCAGATCATTGATATGTGGCATGATAACCGTTTGTGTCATGCCCGTAGTCAAGCTAAATGCTTGAGAATCAATACAAGAACTGAGCGATAGATGATATTTTACCCTTTAGGGTACACCTACATAATTGGACCACATTCCATTGCTGTAATATATTGTACTCCACACTCTATGTTGTCTCCTGGATTTTTATTTTATTTTTCTGTTTTTTCATAACTAGTTAAGTTATGAAAGTACAAATATGCACGTTTCTCATTGTGAAGTGAAATGTTTTGTACCTCTTACAACTCATTTAAGGTGCACAATTAGACTTTACTTGCTGTACCTTGGAGAGTATGTTACATTTGTTTTGACTATCAAGGACTAAAATGTACTTGAACAGTACCCTTTTTCTAATAGTGTATTGAAAATGCAGCATTACCTTAAATCAGGAGTATCCAGTCTTCTCCACACTTTAGAAATAATGCAGTGCTGTTTGAAGGTTTAGCATTATGTGTATTTCTACATAAGTTTGACCTAAAATGCGATCAGATATTTATTTCAAGGCATAACAGTAGATAAACAGAATCTAATAAAACAAGTAACACAGAGAATTATATAGTTTTCATTAGTTTACTGAAGAAAGTCATCTGACATTACATATTTTGGTTGGCAAAGGTATGTGAACTATAGGTCAGTGATCTCCAATCCTGGACCTGGAGATCTACCTTCATGCAGAGTTTAGTTCCAACCTGTATCCAATAAGCTGCCCCATCCCTTACTTCATTCCAATACATCTGATCCAGCCAATCAGGGACTTGGAACAAAGTTAAGGAGCTAATGTAGGTGTGGCAAATTGTGGTTGGAATTAGGGTCTGTAGGAAGGTAGCTCACCAGGACTGGGGTTACTGGAGACTACTGATATAGGTGATAATTAGGGTCAGGAGGTTCTGATTATCTATTGATATGACTTAAATGAAGATCTAATCATATTTTCGTTCATATTTATGTAACAATTCAGATAATGCTAAAGGGTTTACAAGCTTTCAAGCAGCACTGTGTGTGTGTGTGTGTGTGTGTGTGTGTGTGTGTGTGTGTACGTGTGTGTGTGTGTGTGTGTGTGTGTGTGTTTGTGTGTATATACACACAGCCACAAGGTACATTACAGGGCAGCCAGTCGGAGTGGAGATCTTTTACCTATATCAGTCTTAAAGACACAGTAACAAAAACTGCCTGTTTAATTCTAAGGAATAAAGACAGGTTGAAAAATGGTCATATAAAAATGTAATTATGACTGTTTTTTGGTACACAAATCCACACAGGGTCATAAGTAGACCTCAAAGGAAAAACGTAATTCAAGGCAAATGTAGGATATGGGTCCTTTAAATTATTTTTAGCAGATGCACTAAAACAATCCTGAAATCTTGGGGTGCTGCAGTCTCCTCAGCTTCCACAGTTCCCATGCCCAAGAGACACGCCCTCTGAGGCAGACATTAACACACCCACTTGTTCTCCCTCATGCAAGCACTTTTACACTCACACACTCTCGTCTGTCTGCTCTGGCTGCTGTGCCACCAAAGTGCATGTAGCCCCTCCTCGTTCCCCCACTGGTAACCATAGGAACAAGCTTTCCTCTGAAGGCTCTGGATTTGCGAGAGATGACTGTTTTTGTGTGTGTGTGTCTGTGTGTGTCTGTGTGTGTCTGTGTGTGTCTGTGTGTCCTTTTTTGGGCTTTCCCAGCTCACAAAAGCTCAGCTGCACGTCTTTGCCTCCGCTTCCTCTCTCTCTCTTTGTGCTCCCGATGATCACTTCCTTAGACCGGTGTGTATGGTATCATTAGAAAAAGAACAAACAGCATCCCCTGCTTCCATGTGTACGATGAAACGACTCAGAGATGCTTTTAAAAAAATGAATGTAGCGCTGCTTACAGTGGAATCAATACAAAGGCAGTGGACCATACTCTGAGCACCCCCCCCACCCCAAATTACACCCCACCCCACTGCTATTACACACACTGTCCTAAAGCCACCCCAGGATTCTTCGATAACACATTAATCAGATTGTTAATGATGTCCCTTCCGCCTCAAAAAGCACATTGTTGGGTTAAAGGGGAATTCCACGTATTTTTCAAAATTTCTGTGTAGTTCAATTATTCTGATGTAAACAGATTCCACTCACATCAAGTGAATTCTCTAATAATGTGCAGAGATTTGTTTATAATTTTGGTGATACGAACCCAAAAATAACCATTGTATTTACTATCCAAAGCAACCGGTGACCCTGTGCGTATCTTCTGTGTATGTAAAATCGTGGTAAACCAAAAAAAAAATAAAAAAATTTTCTTTGGAGACTATTTTGCATTACAACAGTCTGCGTGTACTTAAAAAGATACATTTTATGTTGAAACCTTCTTAAAACTATCATAAAGCAATGTTTCAGGCATAAGGTAATGCATTTGTAACCATTTCTTGTAATAATTTTCTGTGAGGTAGCTTTTAGAGGTATTGAACACTTCAGGCATCTGGTTTCTATCACCACCACTGTAAACAACTCTGACCCTCCCTTTCTCTAAAATGGTGCATTTCACATCACATCACTCTGAATGCCTTTCTTTATATCTTAACGGTTTAATTATTCCTTATTAAAAACAAACTAGGGATATAATCATAAACACATTTCACTATGTAATTTGTGTGGATATACAATTTCCATACAAAAGTGAAAGAGAAATGCTAACTTTTAAAACTTTTTTGGGGGGGGGTCAAAATTGAATTGCCAAAACATGGCCACTAGGTCAAGTGAAAAAGTGAAAGTGTAATGTTAACAAACTAGTAAATGGTTTCGTTGCAGCACATTTGAGGGTTTTGAGGTATTTTATGGTTTCTTTTAAGGGATATCATGGAATGATTTTAATAGAACATTAGAAACCCTCCCAATTTATTTTAGTGTATCTATCACAAATATGGTTTCTCATAGCATTAATTTGAACTGTATTCAATTCACAGTGCATATTGAGATAAATGAATATTATGTGTAATACCCCTTGAAAAACCATACTGAGCTAATCAAATTGTACATGTATAAATGAACTGGAGATGAAAACATTTATACATTTTGTATGGATTAAATTAAATCACGTTCAAATGATTTTGTCAATGGTTTTTGCTCTAATCTGTTTTTTTGTTTTGTTTTTTTTGTTTTTTTTAAATACTGAATCCTTTTCACGCTTACTCCCTCTCTCTCACATGCGGTCACTGTTTAATCTAGGAGAAAGCTGAACTGCAGGTTAGTAACAGCTGCTTTGCTTTTGCCTGCGCCGTCCTTGCCTGCTTCACGCGTGAGTCTTCCACGTCATTCCTCCACGTCCACCAGAGATATGTCTAGGCTTCTGGAGACTGTCGGAGAACGACAAAAATAGTCTCACGTCTCCTCAAAATTGGACCAGAGGCTGCCATCTTAGTTTTGTCCTTCACATCACATCTATGTTCAGAACTTTGTGCTAGTTTCATTTTCATTTGCTTGCCTGTAGTTGCCTGCAGAAGACACTTCTTTTTCCCCTCCATTTATATTCCATTATCATTCACTACCATCATCCATTAAAAACCCATCATTGGACTTCAGAGTTGTCTTGCACCAACATGTAGTAGGGCTGCACAATCAGAGCTGGAACGTAATAGAATACAAGTATTGTGAAACCTAATTCATAATACAGAAATGAATGCCCTGTTTACACCTTGCATCAGCGTTTCTGGTTACGGGATCACAATCGGATTTCACTTGATCGCGTGAAAAGCCAGGTGTAGACACCCCTGGGATGCATTGTGTTCGGATTATGATTGGAACACTCAAACTATATTCAGAGGTGGTCAAAAAGAGATCTTGACAACATTTAACACAAGTGTAAATGGAATACGTTTTTGTTATTTGTATACAATTACATGAATAGCATCTGACGAATGCTGAGTAGCAGGAGAGAGGATAAAAAATTAAAGATAGAGGATATGTGAGACTGGATTTCAGCAAGCCAATAGCCTTCATGCACTCTGGGCTAATGAGTGTCCAAGCCAAGCTTGTTGACTTGTATTGTAATGGGGGGAAAAGTAAACAAAAGTAAAACAACATCACGCAAGTTAAAATCAGGTTACAAAGATTCATTTTAGTGTAAAAATGAAGTGTGGCCTCAGGTTTATCTTCCCATGATAAACCTGAATAGTGATTGCTCGAGGTGCCAGTAATTGAAGTCAGTAGAGAGTACTCAAGTATCTGTGCACATTCCTAGTATTCAGTCCTCATTACATTTGAAAAAAAGGCAGTATTCAGAATACAATTACTTTTTACATTTTTGGGAGAATACTTGACTTATGTATTTGGCAGATGCTCTTATCCAGAGTGACTTGAGACTTAATCATGTTACAGAAGTAGGCAAATGTAGTGTTAGGAGTCTTGCCCAAAGACTCTTATCAGGTTAATGTAGTGTGTTTTCCTGGGCTGGGAGACGAAACCCAGTTACATGGATGGCTGCAGTGTTACCCACTGTGCCGTATCATCTCAACTGCTATACCTCTAGAACTTACCTAATAAATAAGTAAACAAAATCCTTAAAAGGATCACCATCAATGCTTATTTATTAACTGTTTTAAAAACAGCAGAAGGTGTATAGCAAACACTTGTTAGATGGTCTCTAAAGCGAAACTCAACAAATGGCTTTTTTACAAACACTGAAATTCATGCTAAAGCCTGAGTAGACTGATAAATCGATGTGATGAGCCAGTTATTTATCTCAGTGTTACTGCACTCTTTTGAGGGATTGAAATGAACTTTCTCATCTTCTCAGTAGTGTAGTTCGCAAGCGACATGCTTAGCATTGATTGTGTACTGTACATGGCGTCATGTCCGCTTGCTATTAACTGAAACTCGCATAGCCGCCCTTTTAAACCAGTTCAGATCACCATTGTAATTTAGTCACATGTTGTAAAAAAAAATAAATAAATCGCAGTGGTAATTTAAGTATAAATTACAACAGCTGGGTGTTCTCATGTGCCATATTGAGTACATTTAGAATCTTAATATGTGTGTTACATATGTTTCATGTATTGTAATGAATATATTACTGAATACAATTAGGACAGTATATTCAGTATTTAGCCTTCACTGCTTTTTGTCAAAGTATTGTGCCCAACTCAATCAGCATTATCAGTCAGCCTTATCAATCAGCCATATTGGCCTGTAATGATTTGTTAGAGGCTTGAAAATGCAAATGGGCTTCTAATAAATCATTATTTATCACAGGGTGTGAGCATTAGCCTTAGAATAGCCTTAGACATTCCCAGTGAGTGTTCTTGTGGATGTTGTGTATTCATGTGATCTGTAGGTTATTTTGGTCCTAGCATGCATGTGAATATATATATATATATATATATATATATATATATATATATATATATATATATATATATATATATATATATATATATATATATGCTGAGTATACTCTTTTCTCCATATTGTGCAGCCCTAACATCTAGTAAATATAAACTGGTTCTGTATCATCTCTTACCTAAATAATACATGTACTCATGCATTTTGAATGGCATACTGTAGCTGAATAATGCATGCGGTTTATGAGTAAGTATACAGACCTGAAGGTGTCATGGTGTGTGTATAGCCCTTACTGTTTGTGGAAACGGCTGGGATGTAATGAGTTTGGAGGCCGTGGGAGCTAGCTCATACAGTTTGGGAGGCTGTGTGTTGAGTCAGCAAGCAGCAGTGTTATTACTTCAGCAGGGGGAGGAGGGATAGAGTCAGTAACTTCAACTCAATGAGGCTGTCAATAATTCGTAGCCTGTCTGTCTGGACAGAACCACAGCAGAGACACAGATGAGATGCTGGCATTAATATCAAATGAATTGATAGACAATCATCATCACTGTCGTCATCAGTTTACAAAGTGCCTTTTCCAAGGTAAAGGTTGCTGCACAATAAATGTGGATAGTTATCATAATAAAACAAAATTAGATACAGTATCTGCTACTGCTGCACAATATGGATAAAATATAACATTTTGATTAATAATTACATATGATAAACTCTTTCAACTTTTTCAACATATTAAAAATGCATTGGTGAATCCTAGATGTGATATGAAGCTGCTTTACCTTTGACTAACAAATATTAATTTCAAAAACAGTTAGGACAAAATGTGAAATGCAAACAAAAGCATGCACTGATCTGTAAATCTTTGATCTGTATTTAATCGACAATAGTACAAAGGAAAGATGTTTAATGTTTTACCTTATCAACTTAATTGCTTTTTGGAAATATGCACTTTTTTGACCGCAGCAATTTAAAACTAGGAACCTTATGAAAGGGTTATACAGTCCTTCATGAGCAAGGATATGTTGAGGCTCGCCACTTTGCCAAAAATGCATCAGCAAATAGTCCAACAGTTTAAGAACAACATTCTTCCACAAGCGATTACAGGGAATCTAGGTTTCACCCTCTATGGTGCGTAATATCACATGATTCAAGGAAATCCAGAGAAATCTCTGTGGGAAAGGGCAAGGCTGAAAAAAACTCTGTGTTGGATATCACCACATCGGCTTAGGAATACTTTGACAAACCGTTGTCAAATGCTGTTCACCGCTGCGTACACAAATGGGCCAAAGAAGAAAGGTCTATCTGGATTGTTGCTAGCGCCAAGTTAAAAGCCAGGATCTATCACAGTATGGGGGTTTACTAGTGCACATGCATGAGTAACTTGTTTGTCTGTGAAGGCACCGTTAACGCTAAAAGATATTTACAAATTTTGGAGCAACATATGCTGCCTCCTAAATGACTTCTTTTCAGGGACGTCCATGCTTTCAACATGACACCAAGCTGCATATTGCACATTACAGCAGCATGGCTGTGTAATCAGAGAGTATGAGTGCTAGAATGGCCAGCCTGCTGTCCAGACCCATAATGCACCTTGTGCTGCATTATGTTACAGCAATGAAGGCCCTGTTGGCACAGTTGTGCAGCTGAAGACTTGTATAATGAAAAAATGGCAAAAATCCTGCTTTCAAAATGCATCAGTGGGTGTCTTCAGTCCCCAAATGATTTGTGTTGCTGAAAGGAAATGTAACACAGGGGTAAACATGCCCCCTTCACAACAATTTTGCAACAGTTTGCAGGTATCATTGTATGATAATAAATTAAATATTGTTTTTTACTGTTTTTAATACAGTCCAAACTAAATTTACTAATCACTGCTTTTGTTTTACTACCATTTCACACACTGTCCAACTTTTTAAGAGTTTAGATTTGTGTACATCTGATGCACCCAAACACTTTAACATGCTGTCCGACATACTATAATGTGTGTGTTTTGTGTTTCAGAGAAGGGGATTGGTGGCTGGCACGCTCACTCACAACAGGAGAAAGTGGCTACATCCCCAGCAACTACGTTGCTCCCTCAGATTCCATCCAGGCTGAAGAGTAAATCCCTTTTTTTGCACATTTTCTCTTCCTCTTTGCTCCTCTCCTGTGATGCTCCCTTGTTTTAGTAGTTAGTCCTTCTTCTCTGCCTGCATTACTTTAGTTCTGAATGCTCCCTAGCATTCTTCCCTAAACCTTCCCTCTAGCCTCGCACACCATATTCCACCAAATAGTTTCATTTATTCTGTACAGGAATGCTCCTGCTCCTCCTCAATAAGGCCTGTCTTTTTCCCTTTTTTCTTCTTTTTTTCCATCATTTTATTCCCGAGTTATGTCCTCCTTACTCTGATTAGGTTGTAAGAGTTTTCCCTGAAGGTCTTCCCTCTTCCTAGCATTTCCCATGTGCATCGATTTTAGCCACCCACTCGTCCACTACTCGGTTCTCCGAACTTACTTGCCTGCCCCCCGCCCCCCCCAAGTCCACCCACACACATACATATACACATACACACATACATACATGTCAAGTCTGATTTTCTGCATTTTTGCAGAAGATTTAACATAAAATGCAGTCAACCAGAACTTTATTTAAGCAAACGCTTAGAACTAAAAAGGGAAATACAGATTTTTTTCACTGAAATGTCTGCTTGATTCAATAATTATAATGTAAACAAAGTCAATCAGAGTGTTTTAATGTAAAATATGTCATTGTAGAGAAACTATGCTTCCTGACATCAGAGGCATTATTGTACAGTAGTTTTGTGATAAGATTTGGCCTAAAACATATTTAAAATGCCTTTAACCAGCCCAGTGCACGCCAACACATCCTGCACATGAGAGAATAGCCTAAGTAAAATATAATTTCATAATATATAGCATATATAAATTATATCTAACAGTAAAATAATGACAATGAATAAACTCATTCTAAATAGTTGTAAAGTCTATCATGTGAATAACACATTTTTGGCATTCTTGTAGACTACAGAAATGGCAGAGCCTCCAGTCACAGATGTGGAAAGTGCTCTTAAGAAAGGAAAATGCACAACAATAAAGCAGAGTAAAGGCAAGTCTATCGTGACAGTCATTTTCAATCATGACTAACGCAGATTGAAACCAGCTATACAGGGCTGTGGGCGGGAGCGGGACAAACTTTTAGGTTGCTGGTGGGAGCAGGACAAACTGCGCCGATTCTCTGTGGGAATGGGATGAAATTTTGCAAGAGCAGAACTAAAAAATCTGTCCTGCACAGACCTCCAATATGTTTATACATCAGTTTGGATAGTAAATAAAATAACTGTATTTGCACTGTATATATCATGACCCCTGGTTTCTAAGACCACCACAATAAAGAAACCCAAGTTGGTCATTTTCTCTACAAGTTCAAATCAAATCACTCTAAACGACTCTTCATATAATTCAATAATGATTGAACTATGAAGAAAATCTGAAAAACTCCATTTTAAGGGTACTCTAGCATATAATAGTAATACAAGGGAAACTTGTAAGAACACTACAGGGTGCCTACAGGGCAACAACACTACAGGGCAGCTTCAATTAGAAGCTTTCTTGTCAACATTATCATGCGTTTTGCTGCACAAGCCTGTTACACTCAAAGGTGCAAAAGTGCAGAAAATCAGATGTATGACTCACACACCTAGACACTCGCTTGATATCAGTCACCCAGTCACATGAACATGCATATGCAGACACCACTTTTTAATGGTTATGATGTCTCACTTTTCCGCCTCTGTCCTGCCAGTCATCTCAGATTGACTCTGGAGAAGAGGTAAGGCTTAGTAACCGTACAGTCCTTGACCAAAAGCAGCAAAGAGTGCTTTCTTCTGTTTTTACCCTAGCAAACTTTTCTGATGTCAGAATATTGCAAGGTTGTGCGTGAAACTACAGCACCGAGACTGGTCTGCTGTGTTATATTACACTAGGGCTGGCCTGAACAGCATTTTATAGACTTTGAATGCTCTATTCATTTTCAAAATCACACTTAGGAATATTTATTGAGGCATTTTTAGTCATCCATATGAGGAAAATGATGTGGTTTCATTTTAATTAATGTTGCAGTTCACACTGTCTGCACTAGACCCACATCTAATATGAGCCCTTCAGACCTCTTTCTTTTTTTTCCCACTCGTGCATGAATGAAGATTGAACTCCAGATAGAAATCTATTTTCTATACATTTCTATACCCTGGTCCTGAAGGCCCCTGTGCTTTTCCTGCTTTAACACAACCACCTTAACTTAATAATGGGCCATTCACGAGCTGATCAGTTAGATCAGGTGTGTTGGGAGCAGGGAGAACTCTGAAAAGTGTATGGCAGTGGGCTTCCAGGACCAGAATTGAGAAACACTGCTGTATAGGATACAGGACGGTTCTGTAAAGGGGAGGGATGGATCCCTGACATGAATTTTTGATACATTCAATTAAACCAGCAATAATTTTATCTATTTTTAATGCTGCACTATGTATGTTTTGGGGATTTGGAGACTGCTTCAGTGGAAACTTGTAATTGTACTTGAAAAATAATAGTTTGTAACATCGGTTGTGCTTCTGACCCCTTGCCTGAGTGGATGAATCTGATGATTGCAAGCATGTTGAAAGAGTATTCATATAGAACTCAGCCAAATCTTGGTGAAGAATGTGTCTTCAGAAGATTTAAGTAAATTACCTACTATTCATCATATCTTCTTCAGTATAACATTGAATTTGCACATAACATGAGTACGTGGGTATTCAGATTATTCAGGCCAGCCCTATTTTTCACTTGGTAAAACTGTACTTTTCGGTTTCTCAGACTTTATCAAGCTGATTTGTTTCAGAGAAATGTTCAATAATTCAGGCAACTCTTACAGTATTAATGACTAACAAGCTATGGTGAAGGAGGCAGTTAATAGTGCTGTAGTTTTATATACAATTCATGGCTGAGATTTATTTCTGCACTGACTGTGTTTTCTCTCTCTCTCTCTCTCTCTCTCTCTCTCTCTCTCTCTCTACCTCTCTCTCCCTGCAGGTGGTACTTTGGGAAAATCACTCGCAGAGACTCAGAGCGGTTGTTGCTAAGTCTCGAGAACAGAAGGGGGACTTTCCTAGTCCGTGAGAGTGAGACCACCAAAGGTGATTTAACCTTTACCCCCATTAAAGAACGTCTACCCACATATCTGTGCTAAATTTCTTACTCCTTCATCTTGACAGTAATCAGCTGGTTTAACTGTGGCAGCACTTTTACCCCTTGAACCATAGTAATTTAGATGTGTTTCCAAGTTTTCAGTAACAGAAAACATGTTGGAGAAAAGTGAATGGATAGTTACTGAAGCAACATGCCAAAGTTATTGTCTCTGGTAATCAACTGTAAACTGCAGAAGCAGCAGGTAAAGATTAGGCTGAAAAATACTGGAGTATTCCTTTGAGACTTTCTTCAGGAACTGCTATGGATTATTCCGTAAGTACTATGAAACTAACGTGGAAGTTGTAGTAAAACCGGAATGAAGAAGAAGCACAGCTTGTTAGGCGTTTATATATAGACTGATTGAGGAAGTGTGTCACATAGAGCACATGTTAAAACACAGCTCTGTTCTTGTTTTTAAGTAGTATCAGATACCTAATAGTCTGCAAAAAATAAACGCAACAGGGCGGATGCAAGATTCCAATTGCATATTCAAATAAGGATGTGTGTACCTGTGTGTGTGTGTGTGTGTGTGTGTGTGTGTGTGTGTGTGTGTGTGTGTGTGTGTGTGTACACACTACTCAGTGCAAGTCAGGAACCACCCTATATTTTTTCATTTCCAGTGTAAACAGCCATTAAGTGCAAGTTATTAAATTTCAGCATCAGGAAAAAAGACATGAAGCTTATCGTCGCTGTCCAAAGAAAAACAAATATCCCCAAAATGGCAGCTTTACAGCAGAGGGAAAACGTTCTTTACTTTTAATATAAGTTAATGCAAGGAGATTTTATTCCAAACTTTTCTGAAAGCATTTCTGTTGGTCTATTCATCATGACATTTTCACACAATGTAAAGGCAGCTGTCGTCTTCAAAATATGTAGAAAAAAAAATTGGAGATACATGACGAGTGCCGATATACAGGAACAGATAATAGAAAATGACATAGATGCCAGTAATAACAGCATTTTTTGGTGATGTAGAGGTCTGGGCTTTGGGATCATTGTTTGATTTCTTGATTAGTTTGATATCTTGATGTCTTGATTAGTGTGCTTAGGGTTGTCTTGCTTTAGAATGGATGTCTTCCCAGTAAAATGCTTTCCAGAGGGTAGAGCATGATATATTAAAATTAGGTTGTACTTAGCTTTCAAAACCAAAATCATCACCATGCTTGACTGGTGGTTGTAGATATAGTTTGAAGTGTCTTTTATTGCTTTGACAGCATACATACTACCCTCTGTTACTTCCAGAGATCTTAACTTTAGGCTCATGAGTCCATAAAACCTTACTACTTTTCCTTTTTCCTTTTCTCGCTAAGGACCTCCTGACAGCTACACATCTTTTGAGACCCATAGTGGTAAAAACGCATAGATTTTTTCAGATCTGAAGTAAGAGTGGAGCTTGATTTTCTCCTCTCTCTCAAAGATGAAAACTTTAAGTACTGTTTATTTGATAGTGACATTTTTGATGGTCTACCAGGTCTCGTACGGTCATTAGGAGTCTCATTTTCTCTATAGTTTTAATCATTTTTAGCTCTAGTTTCAGAAGCTCACTCATTTTCCTTTGACTTTGCCCTTCCTTATGCAAGTGGGGACCAATCTCTCAGAAATATCTACTGAAAAATTAATAACTTGTACCTAATGGTCATTTAAAGTGGAAATTAAATAAAAAAAAAGGGAGCCATAAAGAGTTATTGCACTATTGCACTTTGACTTTCCGCCCTTTCTTATGCATCTGTTTTAGCTATTTTAGATGCACATGAGAAAGCAGCTAAGGTGTGTGTGGTTGGCTGCTTGTGTGAATGTTAAAGTCTATTTAAAGGAAAACATAATGACACAATTTCAGAATGACATACTGATAATGGTATTATGTCACTGATGTGGTATTGCTAGAAGGACATAGCTATAACTCTCTAGTTGTAAGAATGGATGAACATAGGGTGGACAAATGAACTACTGAAATACTGTTAAATCTCTTGTGCTGAGAAATGAATAGCCTTTACTTAATAGCTGTTTTGACTGGAAATGAATAAACAAAGGGGTGATCTCTGACTTTGCTCAGTACTCTGTATGGGTGTCTGTGCATGTGTGTACACAGACATAGATGTATATCAGTGCATGTCTGTTTGTGAGTGAGTGTATCACTGCATGTGTGTGTGTGTGTTGTGTTTGAGCTTTGTTAGTTGTAGAGGTTACAGAAATGGGGGTAGGTGGGGGATTGCTGAGGGTGAAGGAAGGAGGGGGTGCTCACAGGAACCGAGAAATAGAAGTAGGTCATCATGAAATGCCACTGTTACCAAGAGCCTTATAACCCTATTCATACAGAGAAAGAGCGAGAGAGAGAGAGCACATGACAATGATTCAGGAGTCGACGGGGAAAGAAATAAAAGGAGAGAATTAAAAGAGACATCAGAGCGTAAGACAGTGAAGTGCATGGTTTAAGCCAGCATGTGTGGTCTGCTACACAAAGATATGCATGTTAATGTTGGAAGACTGCCTCCTAGTGACTGTCTTGGAGAGATGCAGAGATTTATTGCATGCGTTAGGGGTGCCTAAACTTTTGGCTTGTTTTTGCTTGCACAATGCAATTGTTGATATGTAAATAGTAATTTAGTGAAGTTTGATGTGCAAATCCTCTTTGTAGAGAAACTTACAGACTTTTTTTTTTACAATGGTGGTGATAGGAACTAGAAGGTACAATATCTACAATACAAACATAGCCATTTTATTCAATTTCCAAAATGACCAGTGATCCTACACGTCTTCTGAGGAACTATTTTGCTTTACAATAACCCTGCATGCACATCTCCACCATGAATAGATTTTAAAAACACGTACCAGAGACAATGTCTCGTTGTTGGGCAACTATTACATGTAATATAGAAAAATCTAATTTTAAAGGGAAAAATTAGAGGCTAATCATTGGCTGAGACTGTGGGAGGTTACTTTCTAGCAGGCCAAATGTCCAGGTTTGGTCCATGGTATAGATGTATTGTACAATTGGCCTTTCAGTGCTATCGTTTTATTAATGCTACAACTTTCATTAAATTCCTCAACAGTGGCATTAGAATATTTTCATAAGAATCCATGTGCTGCTGTAACTCAGTTGTAACAATATTGACACTCTCTTTACGCTGTCTGTCTACCTCCTTCAGGTGCCTACTGTCTGTCTGTGCTGGACTACGACAATGTGAAAGGGCTGAATGTGAAACATTATAAGATCCGGAAGCTGGACAGCGGTGGCTTCTACATCACATCTCGCACACAGTTCAGTAACCTGCAGCAGCTGGTCAGCCACTACCGCAGTGAGTCATTTACTGTCTGAACACTGCATGTGCGTTTGTGTTGAAAAGGAAGTGATAACACTGTTTCTTTCCCAGGCCTGCAGTACCTGACAGAAATATGGCAGTACAAACAAAAAGCCAAATAGTTTTGAAATGTCAGATGCTAGTGAACAGTAGACCTCGATGTGGTACAAAAGATATTTGTGTTACTGCTATTCTATAACTAGAAAAACTGAGCACAGTGCTTATGTTAACATGTGATTGTCTTTGGACACTAAATTACTGTTCAGACATTATTAATTTGAAATGGGGACGTGAGGTAGTTTAAGTGTACCACAGGATGTCTGTAACATTCATGACTGATTCACACATGATATGAAATTCTGGTGTAACTTTCAGAGATGGGAAATAGATTTACGCATTGCTGTCACCCCAAAAACGTTTAGTATGCAGTATGTTTAGCTGCTAGTTGGAAGTGGAAAACATATCCAAACTTTTTTGTCATTTTACACTTTTTAGTGTTCAAGTCGTACACTGCAGAGAAAACATGTTATTGCTTATTAAGTGATACGAACACTGTTAAAAAATGACTGTGGTAAAAGCTAAGTAACCTGGTTGCCTTAATAGTAAGTTAACAGAACAAAAATCTGTTAACTTATTTTTTGAAGTTCACTGAACTCCAAATTTTAGGGCAACCAGGTTACCCACTTTTTAAAATGAAAACATTGAATCATTTTTTTTTATAGCAAAGAGGCCATTTCTGGCTCATGCTACCCAGTAATGCCAGAGGATGGAACTTAATTGAAGCAAGCCACATATAGGCGTTGTGGAATTATTTGACACTTGACACAACCGGTGCTAATAATATTTATTGCAAAATCTGTATTAGCAATATTTTCAGGGGTGGCATGACCAGGAAGGATTTCACTAGATCAGATTTAATTAAGTATTTTAAGAAAAACCATTGCCAAGAGCATAGCAATTTTACATACTTTCAAACTTAGTATATTTTACACTGATAAGCCAAGACATTATGACCAGTCACGGATGAGGCAAATAACATTGATTATCTTACTTGTCAAGGTCTGGGATATATTAGATGGTAAAAGAACAGTTGGTTCTCGAAGTGTTGGATGTGGGAGAGATAGACAGGCATGAAGACTCGAGTGACTTTGACTTTGTTATGACCAGACGACTAGGTCAGAGCATCTCCGAAACAGCGCTTTACCTGTTTCAGGTGATGTGATGAAAAGTGTGATGGGAAGTGATGATGCCAGGATGCACTGTGGGATAAAGTACATGCCAGTGGACCGAGTGTGATACTCTGGGTAATGTTCTACTGGGGAAACTTGGGTCTGGGCATTCATGTCATTCATGTCAGTTTGACACGTGCCACCTACTTAAATATCATTGTGGACCAGGTACACTCCTTCATGCAGTGGTGTTCCCCAATGGCAGTGGCTTCTTTCATCAAGATAAAGCACCATGCCACTCTGCAAATGTTGCTCAGGAATGGTTTGAGGAACATGACGAACAATTCAAGGAGTTGTGCTGGTTTACAAATTCCCCAGATCTCAACCCAATCGAGCACCTGTGGGACACCTCGCAGTGTTCAGGACTTGATAACATTTTGGTGCCTCAGCTTCGTCAGGTTGGAGCTGTTTAGGACCAACGGCATATTAGGCAGGTGGTTGTAATGTTTTGGCTCACTGGCATATTTGTGACACAGACCACTGCTTAAATAAAAACAAAATATAATATTTTTTAAAAATAAAATATTAAACAACAAAAAAAAAAAGTGGAATGGTATATCAGTATTTAGAGGCACCTGTTGAGTATTTAGGTTAGTTATAGTCTCAGTTGCTTAATCACTTGGCTTGCTTTGGCTTGCTGGCCAGAATAATACATTTTCTTTGCAAAGTAGATGGACCCCCACAGTACACTAAACACATGCCACAAAAGCAAACTATTCCATCAAACACTGCATCTGACAATCATGAGCATCAGTTCATTCAATCACTTACTAAACAACAACCAAATATACCCAAACCGGTTTTAATTTCAACTTATTCAGTCTTCATTAGTGCTGTATGTCTGTGCTGTACTATCTGCTATGTTACTGTAAATAATGCCATCCGTAGTCCTGAGTATTTGTCACTAGAGGGATAGATTGTGTCAGAGGAGCCCAAACAGAAGCCTTTGCATATTCTGCGTAGAGGAGGGGGCAAAACCTCTCCCAGTGGATGTCAGAAACTGGTAGACAGTTATAGGAAATGTCTACTTAAAGTACCAGGTACTGAAGCCAGGGGTGTACTTCACAGAGAGTACAGAGAAAAACTGTATTGTCAGTATCAGTGCTCTGTATCGGCAGAAACTTGGTCAAGTAAAGGTAACAGAAATAAAAAAGTAGTGTCAGTGCATCCCTATTTGCAGGCATGTTTATTCGCAGGGGACTAATATAATTTGGTGTTATTTCTACAGCTTATACAGTTCATAAAATGTAATTAACTTCAACCAAACTCTTGTTCTGTCTCTCCTCTCTCTTTCAGAGCATGCTGATGGTTTGTGCCACTGTCTGACGGATGTGTGTCCTGTGCTCAAGCCGCAGACTCAGGGTTTGGCTCGGGATGCCTGGGAGATCCCTCGTGAGTCTTTACGTCTAGATGTTAAACTGGGACAGGGCTGCTTCGGAGAGGTCTGGATGGGTAAGAACCACCATATTCACTGACTGTGATCAAATGTTAGAATAGATTCCAACCAGTATAGCAGTTATATTGACAGGCCTGCTTTTTATAAGTATCTGCGAAAATATCGCAGACAGCATGCCAAGAATTAGCGATTTTTTTGGAAAGATTTGAACTTGCGATCTCCTGAAAACAGGGCAAAAACTTAAAAACAGTTGTGCCACTTGAAAACCCACTGGGAATTACCCACTCTTTCAGTGATAGCATTACAGAACTGGTAAACATACTAAACATAATGGTTAAAATAAAATAAAAAGAAAAGGTAAAATCTAAACCTAATCTTCAGCACAAGAATAACATGTTTAACACTTTATGAAGAGGACTGATGGAGAAATAAGAGGTAATTAACAGAAACCAAAAGTGCAAAGACTTCTCAGTTGCTCTGCCCCCACTGCAGCAATGTTTTATTTTCAAAGGAACACAAGTTTACATAACTTAAAAACATACTCTTGTTAGCCGTGTAGCCTTTAGGGCTCATCTAACACACTTCACTTGAGCTAACAAAATAATGGAACAGCCCTTAAGATGGCGCAGGGATTTCCCCCGGGCGGAAATGACAAGGCCAAGAGGACGAGGGCTTGTTAAAACCGGTATTGAAACAGGTACAAGTACACAGTCTCCCAAACTGGTTTCACAAATACATTCTCAAAACTTCTCTTAACCCACTCAAACCACATTCAGGCTAAATCAGGTTGTGCAGACAAGTCAATGTGGTTTAGAACATAGTATGACTTCCTATGAACTATAAAAATGTAAGCTTCTCCATGTAGTTAAAAGAAGGGGCAGTCATGTAGGATAACTGGAACTAATTCGCTGAGCACAGTTTGGTACCATTCTGCACAAGATGACCACAGATGAACACAGACACACTGTAGGGTAATATGTGTTAATCAATACGATGTTTGATTACGGATTTTAGGGCCACATTTTTTTTCTGCACAAATGAACCTCAGCTGTATATGTTTTGAACACATGAAGAAATGTGTCAGTTGGATGCCAGACCCACCAGTGAACCCTCGAACTGAGCTTTTAGCACAAAGTTAGCTTCTTATTTGAATTTTCCATTCTACCTTAAGTGGTGCAGCAGTTACAAATATAAATATATCAGATATTTTCACCAAAATTTTTCACCCTTAAAATCATTGGCAACAGAATTTTATATCAGTCAGGCCCTAGTTGAAACCCTGACCAAGAGTAAAAATCCTCAACACATTTCCTAATTATTCATTCTCAGAAACTGATTTGATTTTTAAACTATCATGTTCAGTATTATATTCAGGACTGTTCAATACTAGAATATTTTGTACTGTTTCTATGTGAACAAGTTAGTATTAGCATGCAAATACATCTGTTTTACTTGATCATCTGAGAATTCTTTGTAGTTCTAGTTCTAGTCATTTATTCAGAAACAAATGACCCTCAGCTACAATACTAATAAAAGTGCTAAATGTCCCCTGCTCTGGTCAGGCACGTGGAACGGGACAACACGTGTGGCCATAAAGACTCTGAAGCCGGGCACCATGTCTCCAGAAGCCTTTTTACAGGAAGCTCAGGTCATGAAGAAGCTGCGGCATGAGAAACTGGTGCAGCTGTACGCTGTGGTGTCTGAGGAGCCCATCTATATTGTGACGGAGTACATGGGGCAAGGTCAGCATTGCCGAGGGTCTACTGTTAAGTAGTATAGCAGTCTGGACAGTGTCATTTAATGAATTGTATGTTTTTTAAACTAAATTATGCACTGCCTGTCAAAGGTTTGGTGATATCTAGCTTTTCATATTAGACATATGAAGGAGTAAACAGGTTACTTTTTGAGAAAAACAACAACACCCATGTTTATCAGTTACTAAACAAACTATACACTAAGAAAACTCCTCACTTAGCAGTTGTAACTGCTTCACATGCTTATCATAAAAACAAGTTTTTCCAGACATTTCAGTTTGTTTATTTTTGTCACAAATATTTGAATATGTGATTTTGTTTTGTTTAACTTAACTTGTTATATGTTAGAAACATGTGCTCCTTTATTAAATAACTTCTTGAAAAGCTAAGTATGTCCAAACTTTTGATGCTGAGCCTATCTATAAAGAGGACTGAGGTCATGATTTGATGTGGTGTCACACAGGAAGTCTACTTGACTTCTTAAAAGGGGACATGGGGAAGATGCTGCGGTTGCCCCAGCTTGTAGACATGGCCTCCCAGGTGAGTGACTTATTAATTAGACTCATTGCAATCACATCAGCAAGGTATAAGAGCCACCACTGCTGCAGATGATAAAAGCTAGTAATAAAAATTTGAATGCACTGAGCATTTTTATCTTGTGCAGTGAACCGTGAGGTTAGTGTAGGACATCAGGACTGCACTGTGTGCTCAGTGTGGCATGTTTGGGTTTGTGTTGTCCTCAGATTGCGTCTGGCATGGCGTACGTGGAGAGAATGAACTACGTGCACAGAGACCTCAGAGCTGCCAACATCCTGGTGGGAGATAACTTGGTGTGTAAAGTAGCAGACTTTGGCCTTGCTCGCCTCATAGAGGACAACGAATACACAGCCAGACAGGGTAGGACAAGCACTGTCTATCTGTGTGTCTGTCTGTCTGTCTGATTATCTCTCACTGTCTCTGTCTATCTCTCTGTGTCTGTATATATATCTCTCTCTCTTCTGTTTTCTCTGCTCTTTTCTATCTCTCTTTTTTGTCTCTCTTCTCTCTCATTTTCATGAAATTTCATGAAATTCCTCTCTCTCTCACACACTCACACTCACACACACACACACACACACACACACACACACACTCACACAAACACTCACTCACACACACGCCTTTCTCCCCCACCCCCTCTCTGTTCCTGTATATCTGTTCAATTTCTGGAAAGCTTGATATCTTTCTCTTCCTCTGAACTATGTTATGTCCGTTTCATTTTCGTTTCCGTTTCTTTTAAAATATCATCATTCATTGTTTTCATTCATTCATTATCATTACTCAATTGTTAAAACATTGAACAAAAGCATTCCACCTAGTGTGTATCCTCATAACATGCCTCATCTCCTTTTAACCACAGGAGCAAAGTTTCCTATAAAGTGGACTGCACCAGAGGCTGCCCTGTATGGACGCTTCACCATCAAATCTGACGTTTGGTCATTTGGGGTTTTACTGACTGAACTGGCAACTAAAGGCAGGGTGCCATATCCAGGTAAACGTGGGGAATAAACCAGTTTCATTCATTCAGCAGCATTTGCGTCATTGCATAAATGACCAATGACTTGTAACAGATCAAGTTTAATTGCTGTTTGTTTCATTGACTGCTGTAGCACCCAAGTATTCAAATCTATATACCAGGGCTGGACACGGCTATTCAGATTTACAGATATCTGCACTCATTTTAATATTACCATTATTGAGTTATTAGTTATTCAGCGTTCAATTAAAAAGTGTAGTTTTGAATTTAAAAAATGTGTATTATCTTGTCATTTTAAATACAATGTTGACTGTGCAGCTGATATTGTCACATTGAGTGAAATGAAGTGAAATTGCAACATCTAAGTAGAGATTCGTATTGAAATATTTCAAACAAAATGACATATGATGTGTACATATTTGTACAGTTTAGTACAAGTTGGTTGACTTGGTTTACTTATTACCTGAAAAAAAAAAATCTCACTACTCATTTTACCTCTGTGTTACTTTCTAAAACTCATACACATGCCTAACAAGACACAGCTAGTTGTGCACGATTTAAAATTGCAAGTGCCTGATGCTGTTTAAAAACCCAGAAACTAGTTAGTATAAACAATTTAAAAACAGCTTCCACAAAATAAAATCCTCATGAATAAAATCTACAGCTTGCAAAGATATTCCTGAATGACAATCAAGTCTGGCCTAGGTGAGTTTGGGATCTCTCTTCTTTAGCATGGGGGTCTTTATCCATTAGTTTCCTAATAGTGTGATTAGATGGTTTGACAGACTGTTTTAGCATGTTTACAGTGCTGCTGGTGCTTAGACAGGAACAGATAATCTCCATAGAGGAAATTTGTTTGAAATGCATTGCACGTAATTAATATTGCTCATTTGAGTAACGCAAGAAACAGCATTCTTTTTGGTCAGTAACTGTAACAACTGTGTTACACTAGTTGTCACTACTACACTACACTACTAGTCACAAGAAAAAGAATTACATTACTGTAACAAGTTTGTACTATGATACCCCAACACATGTGACTCTATCTCTAGGTTCTCTAGGTTAACTGGTAACATGTTAACTCATATTTGCATAAAACACATGAACTAAACAATTAGGTACATACTTAAATGTTATGTGTTTAAAAATAAGGATATTAGAATAGGAACTTAAGATTAAAATTAGGGATGCGCATGGGTACTCGAGTACTTCTTTTAACCATTCAGTGTACTAGTATGCCAATACTGAAATGACTGTTCCGGTACTTGTTCTGTTTAATCACAGGAAGACTAGCAATTCCATGAAACGCTACTTTTATGTTTTAGTAAGACTGTAAAATATTACAGTTTTGCTTGTATTTGTAAGTGTGTTCGTATATTGCACTATGCCACTCCGAAATGTGACATACACTTTAATACGTGATTGAGAAGGCATGTGTAGCATGACTTTATTGTTGACTTGCTTAACTAGTATAGCTTATGTTAGCTAGGTCCAGAAAATCATCCACTGAGGAGAAAAACAATCTGGATCAGCATCCAGTGCTTCACCAGTTAGCTGTGTTTTTAGCTCACATCTGAAGAAGCCTTCATTAATCATCCAACACAAAAACTACCAATTTTTCTCAGCTTTTTTAAAATGATAAAACATGTTTTAAAATGTATTCCTCTGCTAAATGTTTGTGCTCCTGATTTTTTTGCCTCTTAACACCAGAGTTATCACCTAAACAAGTAAAAGCCTCTGGACGTACATAATGTTTTTTATTTCCTACCTGCTGGTAACCGGATATCTGTTCGTTAATTCTTGCGCATACCAAAGTCCTTATAGGAAAGTCTGTGAGCCATCTTGTCAACGCCACCAGTCAGTAATTTCAAGTCATGCAAGACCAGGCTCCTTTCTCTTTGACACATACTTACATGAAAACATTATTGAAGTCACCAGTAAAATCTGACAGAACTAGCATAAAGAGTATGTAGTGTTTGGCTCAAATATCTTGCATAAAATCACCACAGTTAATGGACCTCTCATAATAACAAGTTCTTGCTTATGATTACACTAACCTCTTTGATGTCATGCTCAGGGATGGTGAACCGCGAGGTGCTGGACCAGGTGGAGCGCGGCTACAGGATGCCCTGCCCAGCTGAATGCCCTGAATCCTTGCACGAGCTCATGCTGAGCTGTTGGAGGAAGGAGCCTGAGGAGCGACCCACGTTTGAATACCTGCAGGGCTTCCTTGAGGACTACTTCACCTCCACTGAGCCGCAATATCAGCCAGGGGAGAACCTGTAGAGAATGCCCTGAAGAGCAGCTTTGGAGAGAAGCTTGGATGAGGCTGTGCTGCACTATGCTCCTTACAAAGAGTATGAGTGTTAAATGACAGCTAACTTGCACAGTGAAAGGAGAAAGCAAACACCTCTTTTTGTATTAGCCACAAAAACTGGTGCTAGAGAATACCTCTTAACCTCCTACAAAAGAACATAAATGGATGGAACTCATAGAGGTATTAGAGGTATTGTTTGAACTCGTTTTCTCCAGCTCTTTTTTTTGTAGGTCAGTAACGATCGATCTTTAGCTGCTTTTCTGACCTCATTGTGTTTCCACCTCGCCTTTCTTAAGCTCCTTTAGAGGATGCTCCAGATCTGTCACTCATCCTCTGTAACACCCCCCCATCCTTTGCTCCAGTCTTCTTCCGAGTCCTCCCCCTCCCCCTGCTTTGCCCCAGTTGCACCCAGGCTCCAGAAGATAGGGATAGGCCTGGAGTTCTCCATAGAGGCCCAGAAAGCTATGGTTCTCTTCAAGAAACAAAGCCGGTGGATGAGACTCGAATGCCACCATCAGACACTGAGAGGACATGATTTTGAGGGGAAATGTTTTGATTTGGTCAGATGTTGGTGTGTAGTCCTTTTCCTGGTAAGCAACTTCTTACTGTCTTACCCTGTCCATCCAAGACCATAAGTATCTTCTCCTGAAAATGATGTTCCATAGTTTCCTTTCTTAAACCTGGATCACCTGGAGAACAGTTGAAATATGAATTTTTTTTTTTTTTTTTACTTTGAAATGATATTACGTCATGCTTGCTTCATGCTAACAAAGTCATGAGGCAGATCGGACACGGTCACGTGAAGTCGGCAAACTGAACATCCTAGTCAAACTATCAAAGACCAAACTCATGGAAAATAGTTTTTTCATTTACTTTTATTATATCACATGACTTTTTCTGATATGACCCAAAACAACTACTGATAAAGTCTCTTGTTAACACAGAGACAGCTGTATAGTCTTGTGATTATGTGCCAATGGGGGGGGGGCAGGTTTTGTACTGTTATATAAAAAAATGTATTTTTATTATGTAATCTTTTGGTATCATCAAAAAAGAAACGGATGGGTGAGCTTTGCAATCAGATTTGATTTGTGAGGTATGAATATCAGCCTGATGCATTTGAAAGAACTCCTCTAATCTCCAAATGATTTTGCTTTGGGCATTCTTCTTTTAGTGTTGATCATTTTCGGTGTTTAGAAAGATCCTTTGTCATGAGCCTGCAGTTTTAAGAACCAGTCGATATTTTAACCTAACTTTGTTTTCATCTAGTACCATCGTGCACTATGCTGCTCTGCCATTGAAAACCTTTTATGAATGCTTTGCAAAGGCAACAAAGGGCAACTAGTATCAGACATGTGGCAGGATCTTATCATATATAGGCCAAAACATAGGAAATGTTTTGTTGGGTGTTATGTTTATCCCTCGTCCTGAAGTCTTTGATCAAGGCACATTCTGTCTGGTTTGTTGTAAAAGGTGAATTACTGTAAACCTGCTGAGACAATATAGAGTTAAAAGGTTTGTAGGAACTGTAGGGTATTTTTAATGAGTGATGATGGTGACTGGAACTGTGAATAGTAGATGAATTAGCATAAATAGGTGCTCTCTGATGCACTGATGTTTCCAACAGCCTGCCTTTACTTTAGAGTGGTACTGTTGCAGGTAGATGAGATGTCCCATGTCACTGGTCAATTATGGCTGTAAATACCGTCCTTTGGTCATGCTTAATGTAAATATTCTATTTATTCATATTGTTTAGTTACAATCATCTGGCTTGCTCTTAAACTGAACATTATGGAGTGGTCTTCCACACACTGTTTATTTGCATTGCATTGCTGTCTCATGAAAACCTCCTAACTCCATTTTTTCCCTCTTTTTGTGAACGTTATTTGAAATAATTTGAAAATGCCACCTGCCCTTTACTTTTTGTGACGATCAGGCCAATAGAAGTTTTGAAAAGCAATCCTTTCAAAAGTCATTCCTTACATTATCATACATTAAGTTAAGAATGTGTTTTTCCTTCTCCTATAAAGTTATCATTTCAGGAATACAAGGTTTTTTTTTACAACAGCGATGATGAGATCATTTTGAGTGTAGGGTTGGATGAAATGTGGAACAAAATCTAATTGAGTTTATGAATATTCAGTATACACTTCTCCCACAACTATCATCAATTCACCTTCACACAAAAAAGTGTTCTTTTGTAGCAACTGTTGCAAAGTTGAACTCTTTATAGAAAGTTGGCAAAAATCTTGCATTATTAGTTTTGGTTTCAGACCTGCCTGATTTCTATTAGCTACAACATAGTCCAGCTTAGTAGCGTCACATTTAAAACTAAAAACATTACAGTACTGTGCAGAAGTGTTTAAAGGGCCCATATCACGGAAACAGAATTTATCCCTTTTTAAAAAATAAAGCTGTGAAGCCTGTTTCGAATTTGCTCTTTTTGTGATGTCACACAAAACAACTTATTTGCATATGTCTACCTGTTCAGCCTGCAGCAGTTTAGCCATTTCACGCTGAAATTCCAGTGAGTGGACAGCCCGGACTGTTTTGGAATTATGCAAAATACAGGGAAGCAAATTATAACAGAGATGATTTACATATATCAGTCTTAAAGGCAAAGTAACAAAATTTCATTTGAATGCATAGAGGTCGCAAAATGGTCATGTAATTTTTTTTTTCTATTATTTATCTGTTATTTGCATTTATTCTTATATTAATTAATATATTAATTTTCCAAGGTAAATTACAGTCCGAATTTTTTTTCGATTGTCTTTGCATTGTACTTTCTATAGTGAATCTAAATGTAGTGCATTACAATTGAATAACATTTTTTCTAACGTTCTATAAAATTTAGCCAACTGTTGCTATAAAAGTACACATTCATAGGAGAAGCATGGATTGATCAATTTTACTCCGTAGCTCTATTTTTTACTGAATTTCTCGAACGGCACTGGCATTGAAATTGAATTAAACCATGAGAAGATGCTAATATATGCATTCCAGATGTACTAAGTTATTTGACAGTAGCTGATATTACTTATACCGTACGGCTAGCCATCCTCCAATTCAGCCTTTTTACTAATTAACTATATTCCTGCATTAATGGTCATTGTTCATGTACATATGCTTCTTTACTACTACTATTTTGTCTAAATTAATTTTTTAAAACAGTGGGTATTGTTTGGGTTTGGCTCTTGTGGTGGATTCCTGCAAAACATTCCCACGTAAGTGCTCTGTTTTCTCGCAATAAAACTGCTGAAGGTATTGATCACGTAGTTTCGCACCGTATGTGTTGCTGTGGATTATGGTCTCTCTCCTGGAGGACAGGTGTACTGTAGACATTATTAGGTTAGAAACTGTGGTTTGATTTAAGGTGGAAATAATGACTTAAGTGACATGCTTGTTTACGATGAGGAACTGGAAAACAGCATTTTTTTATTACAATATGCTATTGTTGTACCAAATAAGTCACATTCTTTCCCCTTTTTAAATTTATTGACACCTTATTAGTGTACTCAGCCTATGCAGGGTTTTTTCTCGTTATAAAGTCTTTGCTTTTCTTTTATACTCCATTTTCTCTTGCTTACAGTATATTGTACAGTTCTGCAATGTTATGACATGTTTCAAATGTAGAAGAGAACTTTGCAATGAGAGTTGTATACTTTAAAAAAATTATGATACATTGTTATCTTTTGTAAGTGCAATAAACTACATTTCTAAAGTTTGGATTTAAGAGTGAATTTTATTGTGTTGTCTTTTTTCTCTTTTTTTTGACAGCTTGTGCGTATAGTAAGAAGGAAACCACAACAATAACAAAACTGCTGTGGAGGGCAAAACTCCAAGTTTCTCTTATTCAGTGGTCACCAAAACTAATATGGTCAGAGGTTGAGATACTGAAGGCTGAATTAATTATACTCTTAGAGGGAAGTAAATCATAAAAATGTAAACAGTCATTCAGAGTGGTTTGTGGGAAATGTGCCAAACTTATCAAGTCAGAATTGTTCACAGTGGTGATAGATGTCCAGATGTCTGAAGTGTTCAATGGCTCTGAAAGCCAACTCACATAAAGTTATTATACAAAGTGGTTATAAATATGTTGCGAGATGCCCGAGACATTGTTTTATCCACCATTATCAACACTACATATAAAAACTCAGGAAACACATGTAGGTTTGCTGGTCATTTTTGGACAGTAAATAAAATTGCTATATTTGGGTTGTGGACATCACAACCCCTGGTTCCTATTACCAATACTGTAAAGAAATCAGAGTCAATAGGCCTACCTTTCTCTACAATGACAATTTCCTATCAAACCACCCTGAATTACTTTGTTTTTATATCTTAACAACTGAATTCTGCAACAAAAAAAAATAATAAAATCTGAAAACGGAGGTTTTTCAGATTCACACTCCAAACAGAGTTTAATGAGGAAAAAAAAGAAAAAACTGGCAATGTGAGTATTTTCTCTGTTAAAAATGCAATAACCATTGTATTATCTTCCCAGCTGACACATGACCGACCTTCAAAGTTGAAATGTGGTTGAAATAATGTCAGCTGTTTTTTTGGCATTGAAACAACTGTTAAGATTAAATGGTTGTGAAAAGGTTAACAAAATACTAATAAATCAACGTTGAAAGTTCAAATTTAAATCATCAAATAATGTCTTAAGCATCCTGCTTTATTAATATGATCATTATTATTATCGTTTTATTAGCATTTTTTATGTTTTGATCATAAGACCACTTCAAAAATCTAAATTTATGTGTTAAAAATAGCAACAATTTATGTGTTAACATCAGCAACAATAATAGTAACAGGCAAATAAAGTTCGGGGAAAAACCCTTGCTTGCTAACTATGTTAGCTGACAATCAGCACCCGTACTGAAGCGGGCTGAGTACACCCGTTTTGAGGCTGCCCGAGTGCCCCCTACACTGCGGCGACACGCCAGAGTCACCAACGTTCAGCTGAGCGGGAACAGCATTTAGAGCTGCTTCTGGAAACTTCAGAAGGCTTCGAAACGCGTTTCGTGAGTAATACTTCATTTATTTGACGTACCAGCAGTTTTAATCGGACATTTACTTAGACTTAATCCTATAATCCAATAATGTTTAACTTTTTACACAATAAATCGAAAATTAGCGTCACTTGCTAAGTTAGCCGGTGTCTGCTATGATGAACTAGCTGGATTAGTCACCTTGACTTTGATTGTTTGCTCTCACAATGTAAGAAATTACAGTGGTGTGAAAAAGTGTTTGCCCCCTTCCTGATTTCTTATTCTTTTGCATGTTTGTCACACTTAAATGTTTCAGATCACCGAACAAATTTAAATATTAAACAAAGATAACACAAGTAAACACAAAATGCAGTTTATAAATGAAGATCTTTATTATTAAGGGAAAAAGAAATCCAAACAGTGGTGAACCTTCCCAGGAGTGGTCACCGAAATTACCCCAAGATCGCAGCGATGACTCATCCAAGAGGTCATAAAAGACCCCACAACAACATCCAAAGAACTGCAGGCCTCACTTGCCTCAGTTAATGTCAGTGTTCAGGACTCCACCATAAGAAAGAGACTGGGCAAAAATGGCCTGCATGGCAGAGTTCCAAGACGAAAACCACTGCTGAGCAAAAAGAACATAAAGGCTCGTCTCAGTTTTGCCAGAAAACATCTTGATGATCCCCAAGACTTTTGGGAGAATACTCTGTGGACTGACAAGACAAAAGTAGAACTTTTTGGAAGGTGTATGTCCCATTACATCTGGCGTAGAAGTAACACAGCATTTCAGAAAAGGAACATCATACCAACAGTAAAATATGGTGGTGGTAGTGTGATGGTCTGGGGCTGTTTTGCTGCTTCAGGACCTGGAAGACTTGCTGTGGTAAATGGAGCCATGAATTCTGCTGTCTACCAAAAAATCCTGAAGGAGAATGTCCGACCATCTGTTTGTGACCTCACGCTGACGCGCACTTGGGTTCTGCAGCAGGACAATGGTCCAAAACACACCAGCAAGTCCACCTCTGAATGGCTTAAGAAAAACAAAATTAAGACTTTGGAGTGGCCTAGTCAAAGTCCTGACCTGAATCCGATTGAGATGCTGTGGCATGACCTTAAAAAGGCGGTTCATGCTCGGAAACTCTCCAATGTGGCTGAATTAAAACAATTCTGCAAAGATGAGTGGGCCAACATTCCTCCACAGCGCTGTAAAAGACTCATTGCCAGTTATCGCAAACGCTTGATTGCAGTTGTTGCTGCTAAGGGTGGCCCAACCAGTTATAAGGTTTAGGGGGCAATTATTTTTTCACACAGGGCACTGTAGGTTTGGATTTCTTTTTCCCTTAATAATAAAGATCTTCATTTATAAACTGCATTTTGTGTTTACTTGTGTTATCTTTGTCTAATATTTAAATTTGTTTGGTGATCTGAAACGTAAGTGTGGCAAGCATGCAAAAGAATAAGAAATCAGGAAGGGGCAAACACTTTTTCACACCACTGTATGAAGTTGAAATGTAATTTTTTTAATTACTATTTTAAAATTGGGACGACATTGTCGATTTCATGTCAGTAGTAGTTGGATCTCTGTGTGCCAGGTGACGGGCGTTAGTGGCTGCTCTTGTGGCCGCAGGAACACAAGAGCGGACACCATTGATCATCCACATCGCGGACACCACTGAGCAGCCACATCGCGGCCACTTTTATTAGCGGACGCCATTAATCATCCACATCGCGGCCACTTTTATTAGAGAACGCCATTGAGCGGCCACTTTTATGAGCGGACATCATTGAGCAGCCACATCGCGGCCACACGATAAATACACGATACCTGTAAAAAGACATCGTAAGGAAATGTTGAATTTGCGTTATAGTTCTTAAACTTTAAATATTAAATGAAATAATAAATATTAACTATATACAAGTGTATTGAGTAATTGACAAATTAATAAAACCAGATTTAAACAAGAAAAAAAAGTAAAAAATAGTCATAGATAGAATAAACTTGAGGTGTTCTTTATTTGACACCAACAAACATAATTTAATACATAATTTAATAAAGTGTTAAATACTTTGTAAACATTACTTATGTCTTAGTAATGTTAATGTTCATGGTTTATTAATGTTAATAAATGTAGTAAATAATTTTCACCAAAGTATTACCAAAACAATTACAGCAAAAGAAGAAAGAAAGTAGGAAAAGAAGTGCAAAAAACTTGGACTCTTAATTTATAGGACAGGGACCACAAGCATCTAGAAGGCGAAATGTTCATCACACAATTAAATATTTAATCTTGTTATTTCTACATTAAAACTGAACTGCTTTCCATATTATTTCCATACACATTTTAAGTTTGTCCTTTATTATTATTTAAATACCAAATACCCATTGATTTGCAATAAGCCTACAAAACAGAACATCAGTGTTTAATTATCCTTGCTTGTCAAGTTGAACAAAATGTGTTGTGTAGTTCAGCTTACCTTAAATAGAGTGTGAGTGGTGTTAAACAGAAGCAGACATCAGCCTATCAGGGAGTTACAGCAATATTAAGATTAGTCTCCCATAAGGAGAAAATATATATATTTCAAATATATTTGTGAAATATATTTTTGCAATATATGAAAATGGCCAAAAACGTATTTCTTAAATCTATATTTAAAATGCATTTATTTGTATTTGTTATTATATTTTTCAATTGTATGTAATTTTAATAAAGGTTAAAGATGTAACTAAATATATATGAACTGAATGAACGGTACTGACTGCTGTGTTTTGCATTGTGCTTTGCGTTAAGACACTCACACAAAATGTATGCCAAATAAACAAGATATGAAATCGTCAAACTACATTTTCACAGTGTATCTATATCCACAGCACTTGCTTTTGTCCAGTTAAAGGTCCATTTACCAACATTTACAATTAAGATACTGGAGCACAAATTCATTTCAAAAGATACAAATTCACTTCAAAAGGCGACCTTAATAAAATGTGGCTGCTCTACGGTAGCCACATCACGGCCACTTTTATTAGCGGACCCCATTGATCATCTACATCACGGCCACTTTTATAAACGGCCGCCTTTTGAAGTGAATTATATAATATATAATATAATATAATACAAATAAATGCATTTTAAATATAGATTTAAGAAATACGTTTTTGGCCATTTTCATATATTGCAAAAATATATTTCACAAATATATTTGAAATATATATATTTTCTCCTTATGGGAGACTAATCTTAATATTGCTGTAACTCCCTGATAGGCTGATGTCTGCTTCTGTTTAACACTACTCACACTCTATTTAAGGTAAGCTGAACTACACAACACATTTTGTTCAACTTGACAAGCAAGGATAATTAAACACTGATGTTCTGTTTTGTAGGCTTATTGCAAATCAATGGGTATTTGGTATTTAAATAATAATAAAGGACAAACTTAAAATGTGTATGGAAATAATATGGAAAGCAGTTCAGTTTTAATGTAGAAATAACAAGATTAAATATTTAATTGTGTGATGAACATTTCGCCTTCTAGATGCTTGCGGTTTTTTGCCTACCTTTTTTCTTCTTTTGCTGTAATTGTTTTGGTAATACTTTGGTGAAAATTATTTACTACTTTTATTAACATTAATAAACCATGAACATTAACATTATTAAGACATAAGTAAGACAAAGTATTTAACACTTTATTAAATTATGTATTAAATTATGTTTGTTGGTGTCAAATAAAGA